ATATAAAATAACAATAAATAATTCATTTTAGAATGATTTCACAATGCTCTGATTAATTATTAGAGGTGATACAAAAATAAATTGATTCACATTCCCTTTAATTAACTTATAAGCAAGATAATTTTTTGGTCCAATAGAACCCAGAATGCAGATTTTTTCTTTCCTTTTCTTGATAATCTCAAATTTATACTGTCCCTTCATTTGCCAAGCCTTCAAACGCTCTCTTGATGTTACCAAAAACTGTTTCATCAATAAAAAAAAATTAAACTTTTTTGAAACCAAAAGTTAAATACTTTGTGAGTACTCATATTTTTTTTCTAATTGATATTTTTTTTTGCTTCTGTAATCCTTTTTCTTAGCAATTTCGTTTGTTGTATTAAGAAATAAACTCTCATTGAATCTAAAGTTTAGAAACTTTTAATTTAAAAACTATTTAAATATTTTATAAATGTATAAAACTAAATCCCATCAAATAAATTTTAATATTTAATTATATGTTTAAAGCAAAAATGATAGAAAATGAAAAAGACTTTTATTGTTAAAAAAAACATGGCTAACCAATTCATTTGGTTGTGCTTGATCCAAAGCTAGAAAAGAACCAAAGACTTTAGTGCAATCAATGCATGGAAAACTTCGAATCGAATGCTAAGACAATAGGATTAAAAAAAGTCATCAAGATTATTGAGGATATTATTGATAAAAATTTTAAAAACTTAGAAAATATTACATAGTAGACAGTCTAAGACTTATCAATTTGTATAAAAAGTATATCTGAATTAAAGACATAATTTATAAAATTATTTGATTCTATAATTAGTATAGCTTAAGATTGGATTCAAGATTTATTGGCATAAAGAGAATAATACAACTAATACAGTTTTTATGATGAATTAGATTGCTTTATTAAGAACTAGAATACTAATTACGATTCTAATATCGCACGTATCTATAATATAAATAGATCTTGGAAAACTAAACTATCTAATAACTTATATTAATATATTCAAGATTAAGAAAAAGTTAAGTTTAGAGATATAAAATAAAAAATTATTAATATCAATTGTTCAAATTTGTATCAAATATATGAAATAAAATTAAAATCAATTGAATAATCTGTTTAATAAAAATAATGTAATTCAATAGTTTTTGATTCTTCTGGGTCAATTATGGTATCAACCGAAGAGAATGATATTAAAGTATGGAGTTTTCTAGATGGAAAAATCAAAATGTTAAAAAAATTGTAAGGACATACTAATTGGGTTTTCTGCTTAGTTTATAGTAAGAAATAGAACTTTTTTATTTCATGTGCGGAAGACAAGACAATAAGATGCTGGAAATAATTGAATTAAACTGAATGGATTAGTTCATAACCTTATTAATAACATACAGATTTTGTAACGTGTATTATATTAAATTCTAATGAAAATATACTATTTTCTGGAAGTAAAGATAAATCAATTAAAGCATGGAAGGTTGATATTAATAAAAATATATTGACATACATGTATTCACTAAATAAACATGATAATAAAGTAATGGCATTAAGTTTAAATTAATCAGAAACACAATTAGTATCATGTGGATAAAATAAGAATTAGATTATTATTTGGGAAAGAAGAGAATAAGATAAATTTGAATTCAAACATTTTGTTAAATAGTCAATTTAAGAAGAAGGACTTAAGATTTAATTTATTAAAGAAAATTAATTTATTTGGGTAACTGGTGGTAAAGAAAAAGACAAACTTTAAGTATTTGAAGTAAAATAAGGAGAATACATAGAAAATTAGGACAAGGCTATTCAATTAATTACAAATAATTTAATAGTAGATCAATATCGTTTTCCAATAGTTTACAATAAGGAGAGGAATTTAATAATAATAAGACATAAAAACTTCATCTACATCATTAGAGAAATGAATAATGGTAAGTTCAAAATAGTTGAATAATTGAATTGTGACACAATTGAAATTTATGGAACTATCACAAACAATGGATAATATTTGATCTATTGGGATTAAAAAAATTAAGGATATTCAACATATGAATTATTATATAAATGAATAATTATGATATCATTTATTTCTTTTCCTTTTTATGAGTAATCCAAATTAGAAAAAGTCAATAGTTTTCAATACTGAATATTGAATAAATGCATTAATAAATTAGAAGCCCTATTAAGAAATTAGAATTCTAGTTATCGATCTTTATGGTCTTCATTTAGAGCTACTATAGATAAATTAACAATTTAGAAATCAAATTTATAGTGCATATATACAAGTTTCAAGATAAAACATTTGTGAAAAGTCAAACTGAAAGAGTATAAGTATAGTTTTAAATATGCATTCCACAAATCTAAAATTTTAATTAATAGCGGCAGCTTTTAACCATAATAATCAAAAATTCTATGGCTTAATGATTTGCTATATATATAATAGAGTGGATAATGGCTCTGTAGATATTATCAAAGGTTTCATTTTTCGTTAAAGTTTAAAAAGAAGTTAATGGATAATTGTAAGAGAACTGAAACTATTCTAAAATAAATTAGTCAAATTTAATAATGTTAATTAAATTTCATTGTCATTTATAATATAACTCAAAATAAGGATAAGCTATATAATCAGTTGGAAAAGGAACATATAAAAGTCATTATATTTCAAAATAATTCATCTACCATCTAGTTATTTTTTGATGTTTTCAATCTATTTTCGCATTATATCAATATTTTAGGAATATTTCATCTTCCAGGAAATTTTTTTTTACTTGAATGAATGATTTCAGTACCAAAAGTGTTGAAAAATACATATAATTTTATTGAATTTATTAATAAGAAGTGAAATAAATATGGTTTAAAAACAATTTTGATTTAGATGATTAATATTGAAGACCTTAATAAAATTTTTGAATGCTATTGAAAAATAATTTTATATTAATACAACAAAACAAAATTATTCTATTTTGTAATATTAATATTTATTTCTTCTATAGGATTCATATTATTTAGGACCAATTGAATTTTTCCATAAATTTACTTCTGCTTATAAATAGACAGATCTATTTATTTCCCTTTAATGGTAGTGGTCCATGAATAAAAAATAATATGGCTCCAATTTCAAACTAATAGAGAAGAAAACTAATTTATATCTCCAATTCATTCAGAGTTTGGAAATATTAAATGATACCCTTTTGTTTGATATTTTTTCTAATCAGAAGTTTTATGAGCTTATTAGACTGGAATCTCTTAAAACCTTATTATAAAACATAGAGAAAGCCATATCATTATGATATACATCTCATTTATTTAATAATTATTGTTTTTCAAAATCTAGATATTTAATAAAATTAATCAAATATATAGCCTTATGTTTGAAGGCAATAGCCTTTAGTGAAGTACTGACAGAAGGAGATACGAGTGGGATAGAATTTATTCATTATAGTGATAATATCGAACACTGAAAAGTTAAGGATATTTTTTTAGTTCTAGTTTAAATTTCAAAATACTGAGAGCAAGTCAAAATTGATAAGATAAAGGAATCAATAATTCTTCCTATAAATCAGAATCTTTGGCCAGACAGTGCACCTTAGTATTGCTAAAATTATAATTTATTTACTCTTATTAATATAGGAATGGATTAAGTAAAAGATACTAATGTCTGGAGTGAAACTAAAGAAATGACCTTAAAAAGGAAATTAACATTATTTTAAACACTGTTCTCCAATCGAACATTATTGGACTTTAGAGCAGGGGAAACCTTAGTTTTCTAGTAAAAGATACTCTAAATAGACAAGGGATCTTGAGTTAACTTGTTTTTTTCTCTTATAAAGTGCATAATTTCCCGTTTATTTTTTCAGAGATTGCAAAATTAGATTGTTCTATCGATAGGAACAAAACGAGAGTTTCTAACATTGAGGGTTTGGGTTTGGGTTTGGGTTTGGGGTTTGGGTTTGGGTTTGGG